TGACATGGCTAAATTTCCTTGATATTGTAGCCTGGAAGATGCGATGTTGTAGTCCGACCCTGTTACATATAGCTGATGGTCGTCAGCATACATGAACAGGTTTGTGTCTTTAACCAACAAGGTCATGTCATTCTGGAATAAGCTCCATAATAATGGACCAAATGATGATCCCTGAGGACAGCCTCGTGACATGTTAGACCATTCACATCTAATAGTGCCAAGTTTTACATGACTGTATATGTCTTTCAGAAACGATCGAATTAGATCCAATGATTGACTAGTAAACCTATATGCTTTGAGCTTCTTGATGATTAAGTTGTGACATAGAGAGTCAAAAGCCTCACTCATGTCTGTAGAAATTATTAGTATTCTATTTTATTTTTTGAAATTATTAGTATTTTATTTTATTCTCGGCTTTTACCCACTTAGAAAAATGGTTTCCGTCTATTGTGTTCGACAAACTATTTGTGTCCCTTTCAAATGCGTAACGTTGTGTTTTACTATTAAAAAAAATATGCTTTCTATCATGCTTAGGCCTCACTGAACAGGAAAACCATTTTCAACTTCATGTACTTGAGCAGGCAGCAGCATCCAAACACTTATAAAGCCAGGATAATCCCGTAGACGATAGGCTGTTAGAGGTAAAAATAGTGGCATAAAAGAGCTTTGCACTGGCCGGGAATCGAACCCGGGCCTCCCGCGTGGCAGGCGAGAATTCTACCACTGAACCACCAGTGCTACACCCTGAATAAAGCGGGAAACATTAATTTCGATCGTTTTTCACCCGTTCTTATTTAGCACTAACTCGATAGCTCACATGAAATCTTCTGTGACTTGAGCTTTTAAAGGATGATAGTGTAGTAATTATTATGCTTACCAAACAGCCAACGGGTGTAAAGAAGTGTAATATATACTTCTAAAAAGTATTTGTTATTGGACAAGCATTTCGTTGGGCCTCTCCGAAAGTTATAACTTTATAAACTATCCATTTCCTCCAATTAAAAGCTCATGTAACTTAATTTCTCAACCTTTCGGTTGAGATAGGGGCTTCATTTTGGTCTTGGAAAGACTCTCCTATCTTTTATTATTCAGTTAGTAGCACTTTGCTCAACACTAAGAAACTTGCAAAGAGACTCAAACATCAAGCCATCAGAATATACTATAATAGGTATACACTCTGTATTCTTTATAAGAATATGTTTTACAAGAATATCGAAGCTGAAATTTGCTAAATTTTTTAAGAATAAAACCGAGGCTCAGATTTTGAAAAGAATATAATATTTTGGGTTGAAAATTTGTAAATACAGCACAATTACGTGTCTTTAAACGGCAAAACTGGCCAAAAAGCAAAAACAACAGTCGGCTAGCTGTATATTCGCCTGTGGGCTAACTCCAAAATTACTCTATTACCATCCAGACAGAAACCTTCGAAAACAGAAATAGAATATTAACAAGAATATTTTCATCCTAAAATCGACAGAAAAATAAGAATGTTCAGCCTCGTTCGGAAAAACAATATTCTTATAAAAAATTAAGAGTGTATTTGCAGTTGTTAAAAGAGTTTCAGTCCTAGAATCAAATTAACTGTTTTTAATTGCTTACGATAAATGGATTTTTCGTCATACTGTGTAATACTGCACCTTTAGGTACTACTGAGATAGATGCTGAAATTAGTAAATTAATTGCTTCACAGTGTTATAGCAAGTAGGAAATGGATTAGACATTTCTTCCAGCAAACGCATGCTAAAAATAATGTTTGCCAAACGCTGACGTCATTCCTACAGCATGCACACAACAATACTGCATTTTACGTCGAGTGGTTTGAACACAGAAAGTTTCCGAGGGTAATTATCGGACATTGCATGCTATAACATTTTTCAAGCTTTAGCGTTACCTTCCTGTTCATGCAGGTCTTCCATTCAGTCAACTCTAGACAAGGAAAATTTATGTACTGTGACAATGTTAAGTCGCATTTTATGATCAACAAAAGGTCACACGCAATTTGCAAATTCGAAAAAAACAACAATCGATCATTAACAGACCGATTTTATACCTAACATTTTTAATAATAAAGTGTATTATCGTTTGTCTCACGATGTAGTCANATCGAACCCGGGCCTCCCGCGTGGCAGGCGAGAATTCTACCACTGAACCACCAGTGCTTGTCTGAATACAACCGGTGAGTGCGGCAAGAGGACTGTTGGTTTGGTAACTATCAACTAATTGAAATCCCGAGATTATAATCTAATTGTTCATTGTTAAACAGTTAGGGGGCCTGATAGCTCAGTAGTGGAGCATTCGACTGCAGGTCGAGAGGTCACCGGTTCGATCTCGGTTTCCCCCTTTTGTTTTGCTGTTTTATCAGTTTTTCACAAATGAAAATACCCCTAAGATTTTTCACGGACTGGGAATCGAATTAACCCCGGCCCACCGCGTGGCAGGCGAGAATTCTACCACTGAATCATCACATGCACGTGTTTTCATTCGTGTTAAGGACAGTTGCATTTTCCTTCGAACGAAAGTCTAAGGGCCCCTCTAAGGGCACTTTCCATTCCACCAAAAATTATAGTTTGAGTTTCCGAACATTTTTCAGTTGTGTCCTAAGTGTTAGTAAGAGAAGCTGGAAGAGGTGACTGTCGCAGAGAAATTAAAATAAGGGTCAATGTATGGACAGTTAAGTGTCCGTTGTAGAGAGGTAGCCTTTAGTGAAGGTCCCACTGTATTTTAATCGCCGGAGACTAAATATCGCGGTCTGCAACCTTGAAACCATTCTGAGGGTGAAATTCTTTAACCTTGTTGACAGAAAGGGCTGTAATTTTCGTTTAGCACTTAAAATCAGCTACTATATGTCACGTTTTTGAACAGAAGCCCGAACTCTCAATTGTACTTTAAATTATTTTTGAAAAGGGTTTCTTTTTCAAGAACGTTTTTGGGAACAACGGCTTTAGAAATATGAACCACTACTCACAAATTTTCAAGGAGTTATAATAAGTCTTAAAGTTATTTTGGGGAGTTAGATTAACTCTAAAAAGGAGTTATGTAAACTCAAAATTGGACTTATTTAATAGTCGTGGAATGGAGTTATTTTTGGAATTATTATAACTCTTAAGAGTCACAAACTATTGCCGTAAGTTTTCCTTCCAAAACGCTTCAACTTACAAACAAGAACTGTTAATCTTTACACAAAAGGAAAAGAAGAGTAACAGGAGTAACAAAGAGTAATAAAGAGTTAAGTGGACAGGTTAAAGTGACTGGGAGTGCTAAGCTAAGGGAAGTCACAATTTTTTTAGGTCGAAAGCCGAGCTTGAACGTGACCTGCCAGCTTTTGTCATGCAAGTATTTCACGCACTTTTTCACTCAGAAAAGTGAATGCACTGGCCGGGAATCGAACCCGGGCCTCCCGCGTGGCAGGCGAGAATTCTACCACTGAACCACCAGTGCTTGGTACACGAGTGTTGGCATTTTACTTGATTTAAATCATTCTTAACTGAGGGAAACTCTATAAAAGCGACTAAAAGTTTAGACAAAACTCCGGTTTTTGCGTTGTGTTAATCAAACCCAATTTACTACAACTGATACATAGACACTGTTTTACAAACAGATTCGCTACAGAGCTCTAACTACAGGAAAAGTTTCAATTCCTTACTCCGATAAATTCCACGAACATATCACACTTAGGTTTTGCCACAGCTTGTCTCTAAAGGAAAAAACTTCGTTTACTGATATTTAAAACCGCCTCAATTTCAAATCGAAGGCTTAGAATTCTTAAGAAAACATGTGTCATGTTACCACTTCATTAAACGCACGATAACTAACGCAATAGCTTTTACGACTGAAAGACGATTGTTTGTTTGTGTTAAAAAAAATTGACGTAAGCTGCTTACAACTGAAACATGCGCTATTCACATGTTAGCTATGGTGACGAGTGACTTTAGAGAGGACAATAAAACTCTTCAGTGAATTGCTCTACTTATATATTACAAGCATTTTAACTGTAATGTGATTTCTTCTCCGTCAGGTCTCCTCCAGTTCTCCCTCTTGTACTACTGAGCATGTAAAAACAAAACTCCTGGGATATAATATCAATAGTTATTTTCCCTGCACATGTAGTCTGTTATTTGGACCTTCCTCTTTCGAAACCTTTAATGAAAAGAAAGCAAATTAAGGAAACGTCAGTTAGAGAAAAGCAACGAAGTGAAATTACAATGTAACAAACATGCAGACTCTGTCAGAACGCAGTGAAGAAGCTTGCCCTGTTTACTGGAGGCAATAAAGAGTGTGAAACAGGGTGCGCGGGTCTTCAGTCTTCGACCGAGGAGAGACGCCTGAGAACAAACCAAGGAGGCTTCGCGTGATAGTTTCGTTCAATGTTGTTGAAGCTCTGGCAATGGCCTTCTGCCCGAAAAAAAGTGGTACTCAGTGATTATAATGGACGAAAAACAGTTGTGGGTCATATTAAGGGTGCACTCTACTACTGTGCAAGATTGTCTCTTAGCATTAAGAAGGCGTGAGGCTTGGTATGTGTTGCGCTGCTTCCAAGTTTCCTTCCAGGATTCTTGGTAATTATCAAAATAATCACTTTAACATATGCTGCACTGATGTCGAAGAGGTTGTCTTTTCAAAGGATACCGCTTAACATCAAGGGAGCGGCATGCCAAAAATGATATCGATAAACTAGTGTCTAAAGAGGAGAAAACCGGAAAAAAGGCAATTATGGCCCGGCAATAACATTTGACCGCTTTACAAACACCTGGGAGCTTATTACCTCCATATAAAATGTTAATCCTTGAAACAAAATTCTATCCTCTGGTAAATATCTACATACGGAACTTAAAAATTCAGTTAAAGTGTTTAAAAACGAAGCGAAGACATTATTCCATCTTGAAAACGTTAACTGAATTGCCGGAATAATCTCTGATCTCCTGCACATTCGAGTTCTATTAAAAGCACATTAAGGGTTATAAAATAGATCTCCTTGCATAATTCACAGCAGTATATTACAGTCTGAACAATTCTGGCACGTAATTGAACGGCCTAAAAGCAATTAGCATATCACGACAGCGCGCCAGTCATTTCTGAATTTTATTATTTATCATAAATATCAAATTGTTTTGCAAAAACCCCTCCGTTAAACAGAATGTTTGTCTATCCTTTTCAGGGAAAGGAAATATTTTGAAACCCTAAAATCATTAACTATTTGCGTTCTTGGTCAGTGAGTAATTATCTGCGAGGAATAGGTCATGAACAATTCTGACCCTAGCAAAATTTCACCGGCTCTTAATGTTAAAAAGACGATTTCGTTTGTGGACCAAATGTATATACATGTATGAATAAGAACTACTTAAGTTGAGGAAAGAATGTAAATCACAGTAATGTTTAATTGATATGGAAATAGCAAGTCATTCGAAAATTGTAAATAATAAGCAAAATTTCTTTGAAAGGAATACTGAAAATTTTGATTCATAGTGTCTTTAGCCGGCCCCCTCTACACTGAATAGCGAAAATTATGACAAAACCATTTTGTGTGATACAAGAAAATGTTTTACTATAAGAAATTGATCGAATGGCGTGCAAAAACCGAATCCAAAAAAACTACATTCTATTTTCAGTACAGCGTTAGATCACTGAAATACCTGCACAAAACTACATTTTTTCAAAATAAAATATTGCATTATAAAACACTGGCTATAACCTAAAGTTCGAAAGCGGATAACACTTCAATTCAACGCCAAACAACAACAACAACAACAACGAAAGAACAGAGATTATCCGATTGAACTGAGGATTTGAGATAACATCAGAGGTTTCTGTTAGTGATGATATTTTTTCCTCTAATCCGCTAGCCATTTGTTTTATCCATTTGCTTTGGAAACTAATGCTAATTACATTGATCAGAGCTATTTCTTCTTGTTCACAGCTCCTTAACGGATTCTCATCAATATTAGCGACCGGTTCTTTCGAAAACACCGAGTGTTATGCACTTTTAAGAACCAGAGACGGCGTTTTATTATAGGTACCATATCTCAATTTAAGCTTGCCACCTAATTCAGTAAATTATCTTCCTATCTTGGCAAATTACCTTCTGATTAACTTTACTCATCTATTCACAAAATTTCAGGCTACAAGGGCTAATGGATAAAATTGCTTTGAGGGAGTTTCTCAGGTTTATAGACCCACTGGGTGTCAATAAATAAATACTTTTCGGAAATCCCTCAACCGATTTACGTATGCAAACAATCTCTTCATCATGCTAAGCCCGTAATTATTAAAATAATGTTTATGGGGCGTCTTTGCCTATAGCTTTATAGAACTGAGCATTCACTTTTGTTGCTTTGCACTCCAGTTGAGAGGATTACAGTAATAAGACCCCAAACTCGCCGTGTTACAGGGATTAGAACTAAATCCAATTTAGATAATGAAAACATCAGAGCGTGTTCAGTCGAAGAAAATGATTTTTGTGCAGTGAAGTTCTCCACACCTCAGGTTGAACTAGTTTTAGGCTGATCGCCATTAGCACTAGAATAAGGATTGTATACCACGAAGCATTCAAAGATGTCGTGACTATAGAAAATCGAATTACACTGAATGAGCTCTGTAAATAGTCGTTTCGAAGTGAGAACTGAATAGAAATGATGTACATGTTAGTTTATGGTGTTATAAGAGTACTTTTTAAGTACAAATGTACATAAACTTCTTCCATCAAGTCACACTGAAGTCATATTCATTTTGGCTGGATTGTCTTCTAATGCAATGTTAATGTTTTATTAGAGTCAATGTAAGAATGCTCAAGATATAAGACATACAGTGAAAGCAATAAACTGTTTATAGAGAACTAATTTAACATATAGGCTGAGCTTTAGATTTTCTGCTTAGTTTGTGGTAATAAAATCTTTTGAACGACGGGGAGCAAGCAGACGGTTTCCGATAGTTAATAACTTGAAAGGGGTGATAAACGATTGAAACGCCGACGTAAGCGAGAAAGGGACATTCAAAATGAGGATATGATAATATGAGATTTTAGACGAACTAAAACAGTGAACAAATAGAAAATTGTAAAACTTGTACAAAACAGTGCACAATGAGTTGCATGCTATGAGAAATGCGTTGTTTCACTTACCGCTTTAAGTAAGCTCAAACAAAATGTACACACTCTTGATGCCGAAGTGGGCGAAATGTTTCCTGAATGTTCAACTGCTTTAGCAACATTCGGGCACTGAGTTCCACTAACAAGCATTGATCCCAGATGAGCGATGTAGCTCGATGCAAGTCGTAATGTCTCTATTTTGGAAAGTTTTCTGTCCGATGGTTCTGTTGGTATAAGAACCCGTAGAGCGCTGAAAGCAGAATTTACACTGTGCGTTCTACTCCGTTCGCGTGCGTTGGCTGCCTGTCTCTGCTTGCTGAGGCCGGTGAGACGAGGTCTCCTCCTCTTTCGCTTACTGTTCTTTGAGTTTTCAGCGTCCGAACCGCGTTGTTTGGGCGAGGAGTCATATTCATCCGAATCCAAAACGTCGATGTCGCTTAACTTCGCTCTTTGTTTTCTCTTTCTTGTTCCCTCCATTTGAAAGAAAATCGCAGTCAGTTCAGTGGAAACACAGATAACAGCATTACCTTAAAACCTCTCATGCAGCACTGCAAGTTTACGTCAATACCGCGAACAGTCTTTAGTTAAACTAGCGAAAAACAAAGCAAGTCAAAATCTAAATCATTAGTCAATCAGGAAGGGGTTGTATTATAATTCACGGCGGGCCCTTTGACGAACAACGGGAAATCGGAGCCGCCTGGTAACTAACCAATAGTAAGGCCGGGATCAGTTACATCCGAGTCTATAAGCAAAATTCTAAGACAACATCCGAGCTTGTTGACGAGATAATTACCGTATAGACCTCAGAGGGCACACTGGGTGTCTTGTGGAATTTGCTATTAATTTTAGTCAGAGCTCAGTGGTTTGAAGCAGTTAAGTTAAGAGGCCATAAATCGATTCCAACACAGACAAGGTGTTGAAGATACCTTTTGTGAAACTGTAAATGAAAACGACACAAATCGATCACGAAGTCCACCACAAAGCTCAATTGCCGACATCATGTGATATTTTCATCTTCACCGATCCATTCTATAAACTGACTTCCTCACTATCAACGAATAATTGTAACAAGGAGGAGTCTAAGGAATTAGCAGGGAATCACAAACACTGACAGTGAATCGAGCCATGGTTTTCAACTTTCATTTCTTTAATTGATCTAATTAGCCAAGGTGAATTCAACAACAGAAGGGTTAATCGCAACACTTCAGAACTAAGCTCGAGAGCTTTCCACTTGACTTGAACAAGCACACAAAACTCTTCAAATTCAGTCTTCCACCAAAGAAATTCAATACATCATGACCTACCGTATTAACTCGTTTCGGCCGAAGCGAATCACGCAAATTCGTGCTTTGAAAAACGCTCGAAAAGTACAGGATGTTCAAAGCTTCCATTTACTATTATTTACCTTTTAATTAAAACCCTGCGTTTGAATTGTGTCTTTTATCCTAAAATCACTTCACGGAGCCGGTCCTAGCATGGATAAAATGAATACTCCGTACTAAACATGCAATCGTGTTTTGAAGAACTCTTGGATCAAGAGGATACTGATCCAGAAAAGAAGATGAAATCACAGAGGTTAACTTTTGAGAATGACCTTGAAAATAATTTATATCCGCTGAAAATTGGAATGAAATTGTGCTAAGCCGCTTGACTCAAGTACCCACTTGAGTCTGCCATCCTAACATCTCCACATGGAGACACAAAGCACAGCTTGAGGAGCACCGATTACTGTACGTCCATTCGATTCAGGTGTCCTGCGTTTCTCGGCTAGTACACATAGCTATTTCTGACAAGTATCAAAGACCATCAGACGGTTCTACAGCATTACTGCGCGGTTAAAGATTATCTTAAATCACTCATTACTATAACCAAGGCATCGTTCAAATGAACATACCTTTCTCACGCGCACAACGTTCTCCATTCAAACCGCCAATGAAACTGATCACAAATACAGCCAGCGAATTAACCAATACCACGAGTACGTGGGAAAACCAGCGTCTTCAAGATCGTAGTGAAATCAATAGATATCTGCTCTTGGCAAAAGAGGACGATGTGAGCCCTACAGGGTGTACAAAATATCGCGCAGATTTAGTAAACAGTTCGAATTTTAGACTTAGCCCTGTCCTCGTGAACCGATCAATCTAGATGTCTCGAGGAACCCAGTTGAAACCAGATAGTAGGTGTTTATCAGGTGACGTCATTAACGAACTGAGCATCTTTGGTTAATAATTATCGACTCTTTGGAGCAGTCAGAGTAGTCAGTGCCGCGGTCTGGTCTCTAACGTTTCGTCTCGGTTTTCGTGCTTTATTTAGGTTCGTTTTTGTTTTCCAGGCTGTCTTCATCCCTTTTTCTTCATCTTCAAACTAGAGAAATTAATCTAATCTTACTGAGGTATCATCATGAAACCTGGGAAAAACAGGGAAAACAGTTTAATGACCTGGGTCAATATATGAACAGCTGTCAGTAATACAATTTCGTACTGGAACATTTGGCCGCCTACAAGAGGGCATAGGTCATCTTCTTTTGAAGATTTCGTGTCCGATTGAGTTCGACTCCGGTTGAAATACGGTGGAGAACACTTGGACAGAGTGGCTGTCACATGTCACCAGTTTCATGCAACCTTCATAAAGCCGCACAAGATTTCCATGTCTTCTAGCTGCATTCTCAATTTAATTGGTGTACAAAAGACTGAACGAGGGACAGTCAAATGAAATGCGCAGCTAGCTGACAACCGACGAAGAGTTCGCATGATGCCCTTCATTTACTCAATAACATTTCTAAAGGCGAGGTGCTGACTAACTCAGTCAGGGTTAATTCGGGTGGTGCAAGAAAGTTCTACCTGATCCGAGTATTGCACCTTTCAGAGCAGAGACTTCTGATAAGGTAGCCTGCGTAGCTTGGTGGGATTCTATTGAAGCAGTTCATACTACCGTCTCCCCCTCTGGACAGAAGGGCAGGGTATTTCAGGGTCACCCCAGGACTAGGCTCACCGTAACCCTTCAAGGCTGCTGGCGGACTGGAGACGAGTAAAGCGTCTCGCGCAAACAAGGAACTTGACACACCTGGCCTGACCACCAGCATTCATTCCAGCATTCGCCATCCTTGACCATCTTTGTTCCTTTATGGTTTATTGTTATCTCTTCGATGTCTCTCTATCTTAGTAAACTATTATTTTTAGGTTTCCTTCCATTTAAAGGAGATTTTGTGTGTGGCCAAAAAAAAAAAAAAAAAAAAACAGACAAAACACCGTGACTGAGCTCCTTTAATAATAAAGTTTAATAATAAAGGTTTTTCTCACGATGTAGTCACTGGACATGTGAGATCATAGATTACAAAAACATTTTCATGAAGCAAGTCTACCTCGTAGCTCAACACGCGCTACGTTCTGTTCTAATTTTAGCTATATTTTTCATAATTCAGTGGCAAAAAAATTATGAAGGTGCTCAAGTTCGGATTCTCGTATTCTCAAATTTTCTCGCTCTCTCGGCATTGTCGGTTTAATTACTGTTTGTTTGGTTATTTTGTTTTGCTTTGCTTGTCATTTTTCCATTCGGGTCTTTCTGGGCAGTTAGACTATTGGAGTATCAACCAGTACTCCTTCGTGTAATTTACTCAGTTGTTCCGTGTGTAACCGTGCCAGCATTGCATAGTTAAAAGTCAGAATGTCTTCCCTTGTGTTCCAGCGTTCCCGTGTTTCCATGTTTCTAGCGTTCCAGAACCCTTACTCAGGGGAAAGCTCAAACGGATTTTCGCTTGATTTTAGTGGCAAAACGAAATCAAATAGCTGTCTCAATTTTTTTTTATTCAACGGTGATCAGGACTGAATCGTTCACAAGATATAGACTATACCTTTACGGATACAAGCTGGTTTCTTGAATGTTCGAATGTTTGTCCAATCTTGTTTTGTTGCCTTTGAAAGAATTCTCATAACCCTTTGTCTGAATTTCATTATCATTGTTTCTTATTTTTAATTACTGAATTTTTCATTATGCCTGGCGTTTAAAAACCAAAGTTCTTTATAAGAAGGAGAGGGGTATTGTGTCCCCTTGCTGTTCTATTCAAGCAAAGTGTAAACATATATCTCTATAAAAAGAATTCTTATAAAACCTCTTGCAAACACCTGTTCGTATAAAACGTATAATCGTATAAGTATAAAAATTTTTTTCTTGGTATGCTGAGTAAGAAGAGCCAAGAAAATGTAGACTTAAGCTATTAACATTACTAACAAGAATTGTGATTTTAACTAAGCGCCGACTAATTTGGATGTAAGTTTAAAATCAAATGGAAATTTTGTTTACTAATATTGACACACCATGCTGTGTTATTTAAAACTGTCTTTTTAAAAAACATTTTAGGCCCTGACAAGGCAATCATTTGACGATCATTTTTGGTGTCTAGATTAGGCCTAAGAGATGACCAGCAACCAAAGTCATCTTATCTTGTGACAAAGAACAGAACAGGACCTTTTCCTGATCAAGATGTTATCTCTGTAAATATCGGTGATGTTAATCTGTTTATTTGGTGATTGATTAGACGTTCTATATCTTAATTAGATAACGTTTTCTACTATAAGGTAATTAACTGTTTGAAGATTGAAGTGAGCTACCTAGCAATAAGCCAGCTTTAATATTCGAATACTTGAGTGGATAAAGTTTTTGTCTTCGTATAGTGGGTTTGTTAATTATAAACCGACACAAGGTCTCCATTGTGTTCTTTCTTTCTACCAAGGTGGATATCCTATAAACGTTATAGTTTTGAGGTTATTTTAACTAGCTAATTAGCGCCTCCCAAAAATCTTCTTTCACCGTGACTAAAAACCAGTTATCATTCCCACTTTGCTTGATAACGCGAGCATGTGAAATATATGTGGCTCAATTTTTGATCATGGCAAATGTCTCGTATGAGGAGAGGTTTTGTATATAGTTCTCGACTAGACACGTTTTTGTTCTCATTTATGTAAATAAAACTCCTGCTGAGCTAGCAAGCGTGTGCTTATTTTGCTGAACCACATTGATGACGTGATCCCAGAAAGACGCAAATTCCAAAGACGTCAATTTCATTAAACATAGTTTGTAACATTTGATAGTTCCAATAGCGGTACTTCGTATACGTACCTCACCTTTTGAGAAATCAGGGGCACTGACTCACTCGTAAAAGAATTCGTCAATGGCTAACCCTTGGCACTTTACAACATTAAATCAGAAGAAAATTTGCTTGAAAATGAAAAATACAAATTCCGCTAAAATTTAATTTCATGCGTCAAAGAAAATTTGGTACAAGCTTAAACAAGCGCCGTAAATAACCACAGGGGACAAACTCCAAACGGTAGGACTTTTCATGTAACCGACTGAAGAAGCCTTTGTATTGAGTCAAAAGACTCACATAGGCGTGACGGCGCGTGGCTACTCACGAATACGTTGATATATTAAGAGTGTGCCAGCCGGTAAACATACAAACACTGCCACATCTCAATGATGGACGTCGCGCCCATTGGAAAAGCCATTCAGCAGCCTAAGAAGAGACCGCGACGACGTGGGCCACGGCTGACAGGCGTCAGCAAGCAGCGGCGAGTTGCCAACGCACGAGAGAGACGTCGAGTGGAGATTCTAAACATGAACATCCAGATATTGCGACATATGATTCCTCTTCCTCCGCAAGACAAGGAACCTTCCAAGACAGAGGTGATATGGTTAGCGGTAGATTATATCACGGAGCTAACCAAAATGCTTGATTCCGCTGATCAATGGCAGGCTGAGTTGGAAATGGTCGATATTGACTCAATTGACAGCTTAGACGACAGTCCACTGTTTAATTTCGAAGGTTGGTATTGCTGAATGAATGGGACTTAACAAGTTGACATTAGTTTGTGAGGGTGTGTTTGCGACTTAGCATGTAGCCTAGAGTTACACCCAAGAATAAAAAAAAATACCAGAGAGAAGGCTGGGGAAAATTCAAACATGAACTCTTTTCTTTTCGGAACCCAAAGAAAATTATTCAAAGAAATATTAATTAAGACTTAAAGATTCCATCCCTACGAGTAAACACTTTTGGTTTCGTATCACATTGTGATGAAGGATTGAAAATAAAACTGGCATCGGAAATGAACTACTGCCCGAGACATACCTCTTTCCAATTTTATTTTTTGGCCATTCATATACTGGTGCTACATCAAGAACCCCGGCGAACCCTTAGCTGAGCACTGGAGCTGAAAGATTGCTCAAACAATTTTAATTTATCTTTGTGTACATTGCCTAACGGGGTCCGTTCACGATTGCCTTTGTGCACTGTCAGTTGGCAAAACAGCCGGTTCTTTCGAGAAGCAGGACTTAATTATGAGACATTAGGTTCTTGCTGAGGTAGCAAATGTTTTGAAAGAAATGCGCAATGCCTTTGCATGCTTCCGTTGTTGTTTTTTTTTATGATTGTACGATCAACGAATCAAGGATTTCGGCTTCCTCTCCAACGGAAACCAACCGTGTCCCCATGGCTAAACAAACGCGTACGCGATTTTATACCAAGAAACACGATTATTATTCATTAGAGATCATTAAATACCCTTTTGGTTCTCGATAAAGCTAAGCAAACCGCATATCTACGAGACTGGGGCTTTGTCGAACGGGAGCGATCAATCATCCTTTAATTTTTATGATTAACGAGTTGACAGTGAACTTTTCTTGTCTTTCAGATTGTGCACCATTGTGCTTTTGAAGACTGCATGCAGATACGAAATTAAGAGTGTTTCGGGGCTAATTGACTGATAACGGAATTATCTGGACCAATAATTCACTTGACTTTATCAATATGGTGCCGAATACAGTGACAAGCGGTTTTCTTGAATTATGCAAGAATCAATACAAATGTGTCAATGACGTAATTGCTACAGTCAACATCGCTGTATATATTTATAAAATGCATTGCTCAGCATAGTATCATTATTTTTTATCTATTTTTTTTTTTGTTGTAAAATAGCGATTGCTTGATATTTCTTGATATTCAAGAGTGGAAAAGAACTCATATTGGGTGCAAAGTATTTGTTCTGATGTCCCTAGGCACTGAGTTGTTCTTTAAATAAAAGCATCGTGATCTCGTAACTGTACTGTTAGCATGACTTTTTTGTCACGTCGCCAAGATTGAAGACTTGCAACTCTTGCTATTTCATCTTAAGTAAGCCCATTGAACTGAATGATCAATGATTATGGATGGGAGACTGTTCTCGCATGTTTACACGCATTGGAATGCAGGGTTACCTTATATGCAATAATTCAGTTGTTACGCCACCCAATCAAATACACCGCCCCTAGCTACAACTCTGACAATCTTTACAATCACTATCTTATTTGTTAGGGCCGTGAAATACCCTCTCTCAAAAAGATTAAAAATCACATCCAATCGGATACTTTAAGGTTTTCGGTAATTGCTACACAACCGCAGTTTTGGGTTGAGTTTCGTTCCTATTGAGAAATAACTGTATTTGAGTGAGAAATAAGAAAAAAAAAGTCTCATAAAGAAACTCTAAAATGTGTTTTCCAGTTCTAATTTGATCCGACATATCTTAGCCATCGGTAAAAATCAAATTAACTGAAAACAATTCAATTTCTTCTAATTTGAAAGACCAATGTTTACATTTACATATTTTTGTTTACTGTTCAACAAATTTGATTTGAGGTAGTTAACAATGCCAGGCTTATGTCCTGTGGAGCGTTCATACTTTATTTTCATAAAACAGCTCAGTTCGTTACAAAGGCACACGAACGTGACTTTGCAACTTCCTTCAGACTAGGGATCAATTGCATGGCAGGTGTCGGTTATAACCTTATGTATGAAAGCTAATTAAGTGTCTGCTACGTGCACTAAAGTGAAGCTTGGCTGGGAAGATATAGATCACAAAAGGGCCGTTGTAGAATAGATTTAAACTTAAAGCGCAAAGAGCTCGTTTTGCCCTAACAGAATGTCACTGACGCAACAAAGCTAAAAAAGGAAACTCTACAGACCGCTAATTGCACTCTTACAGACAAGGAAAATTAAGATGAAGACCAAGGTATAATTATTATCCTCGAGGACAAGAAACTTTAATTTAAACGCGATAGAATCAGTCATATTGTAAGAAAGAGTTTCCGGCGTTTTGTGTTAAGCCGGCCAATTCCAATGAAAAGCTTCAAACACGCGGAACGAATCACAGGGTTTGTCCCATTCTAATTTCTTTGGTATGTCTCGGTTTCTTAATTGAACGTTCTTCTAAAACAAATTGACCGCCTGCCTGGCTACCTACGACAAAGTCTGAGTAATTTGCACAATGGATGCTGCTCCTAAAGAGAGAGAACCCATCGCCCAAAAGAAGAGCCGGCCAAAACGTCGTGGTCCTAAACTGACCGGCATTAGTAAGCAGAGAAGGCTTGCAAACGCGCGGGAGAGAAAACGAGTCCACACTTTGAACAAAAACATCAAGATTTTACGCCGCCTGATTCCCCTGCCACCACAACAGAAAGAACCTTCTAAAACAGAGATAATCTGGATGGCAGCCTCTTATATCAATGGACTGATGCTATTGTTAAGCCAGGAGAGATCTCAACCGCAAATACAGATAAAGGCTGAGTGTTAACGTAAGTACTGTGTTACTGATCTTGAAACCATTGTAGACTTCGTAGGTATGAAAAATTAAAATGAAACTATTTAAATCTTTGAATACGCAAGAGTCAATTTCAGTGTCAACAGTTTTCATTTTATAAGTTGGTACCTATTGAATTCTGGTTTTGTTCCCCCGTTATTTTTCATTTGATGAGCTCACTGTTTACACGAGCGATGACATATTGCCCTCTTTTCATGTCTTTTCTTTTACCTGCAGGCAAGAGCGAAGGAATGCGCATGATTTGTAAATAACAAGAGCCGTTTGGAAACACCTAAGGATACATTGCCTCCCGGAATCGCATTTGTGAGCCCAGCAGCTATAGGCCCTACTGAAGGAGGAATTAGACGAAGATTAGCAAAGGATGTCTCAGGGACATGAAAGAAAACTTTACTCGAAGCACAATTACAATTTTCCTTTTACGTAACACTGATAAATGTACTAATTATTACGGAAATAATTCATCTAATTATGATGGATGAGAAAAGAACGAGGCAAAAACCGCAAAAACCACTAGGGCAATGTGACATTTTTCGTTTCCAATTTTCCAGCGAGTTTTTCTGTGTTGTGCCGCACTATTCCGACTATTTTTTCATGTCTCCTCCCACACAATTTTTAAATCAGCTATTTTTCCGTGAATAAAGCCCCCTACTGCAAATGTTTTAATCGAGGATAGAATGCTGCATATAAATATTTACGACTTCACGCGTGGCTATTCGTTATGGGCAGTTAACTTAACAAGGACTCCTTGTATGTATTGTTATCTCGCCAGCTCTTTGAGTGTAGATCGTGCAGCTTTTAATAGAATACTCAATATTGTCTTGAAGTTTCATTTGTTTTGCATACCATGTCCTGAGCCATTAATTGGGAAGAAAAAACATAAAAACCTGTAGCTTCTACACAATTTCAAATACTTCTATAATCACCATAGTGCAGTCAATCAACATTGATAATGCAAAAATTAAAGGAAAAAATTGTACACTAAGTAGGGTTTTAATTGGTACGGTATAAATGGGAAAATTATGATAATTAACCACAACAAAATTGAACTGAACATGGAATTAGAACCGCATTACATAATAAGTAGTTGGCAGTGTTAAGCAGGAATCTAATGTTTTGTTTGTTGTGGTTTGTAACCGCAAGCATTCTCAGCTAGACTTACACAATTATCTCAACTGGACATTCTTCAACAATTCGCTTTCATCAAGCCGCTAGTTGCATTAGCATTGGAAAATCGATCTTTTCGGCCAAATGATTTCAGCCTCGATGACTGAATAAGTACCAAATTTTGATATTCAGAGCTAGTTTGCTAAGAAAATGCCGTCTCTGTGAAACTTGTGAGTGCAATGATATTGTCCCCAGGGTCGTATCAATATTCACAAAACGAAACACCTTTTATAATAAAATGTCTTTTAGTTTTAAGATGGAAATATGAATTCTCCGTAGTAGATGGCATACATTTCTTGTAATGTCGTATGTGAGAATTTGGTGATACACAGTGGTAATTCGTTTTTCTTTAGTTATTTATCGAGTTTCTTCTTTATCGCTATCTTTTTGATAAACCTTGAGATGTTTTTATGGAGGAATAGTTACATTCTTGGCGTTTTCAACGTGGCAATAGTCAAAATAATTTTTGGCATTGCATTGTGAAACGGGGGCGTGAGTCGTCGATTGAAGCAAAATATCTTCGTTATGTGCAAAATTTCAAATCTTATTTACGACTGAATGCATGCAGCCAGAACATGAATACAATTGATATTTTAGTCCTTTGTAGTTCTGTTTAGTATTTCTCCAACATAGCAGTAAATATATATTCACCCGTATAGCTCTAAGTGCTCGGCAATGTCCGGAATCTAGCTCCGAAAACTTTCCGAATTGCTCCGATCAGCTGGTACTCTGTCCTTCCAAGTAGGTGGCTTACCTGTTCGATTATCTCTTCCTGAAGATTCTAGAAACGAAAGCAAAACATCATACCATTCCAAGAGGTACTCAATTCGGTTGTCATAGAAGGACTGGGGGAAGAAAGAAAGACGTATAACAAAAATATTAATTTGGGAGGCAGGGATGACGCAGAGGTGAAAGCGCTCGCCTCCCAATGATGTGGCCCGGGTGCGATTCCCGGCCAGTCCCATATGTGGGTTGGGTTTGTTGTTGGTTCTCGCCTTGCTCCGAGGGTTTTTCTCTGGGTTCTCCTGTTTTCCTCCCTCTACAAAAACCAACATTTCGAACTTCCAATTCGACCAGGATAGCGGGACCCGCATGAAAACCAGCTAAGCCTGATGTGGCTTGCTCTCTAAACACTGTAATATATTTTATTTATGTTTATTTACAACACTGAAGTTTCTAAAAGGACACTTTATTTACAAAAAATTGTCAAACATGTCTGGAAAGCACATTAATTCACATTCTCACAAGGTAGTCTATTTTAGGTTCTATTGCTCTAGTGGGCGATAGCGGAAGCCACAGACAAACAGATTAAAGAAATCCGACAAAATAACTAGAACGTTACGAAAGATGATCCTAAAATAACACATTTGAAAGGTGTAGATAAAGTGATAAACGCTGTTGGTTGTAATCTCTCATTTGATTGGATCTCACGCCACTGGGATCACGGGTTAAACACTGTCTTGACAAGCGCAGCTCGATGTTCATACACGGGAAAACGAAGACTTTATGTCAATGTTTAAAACACAATGGGGACAAAATCTGAAAAATAAACATGAACGAAAATTTAGTCTAGAGGAGTGGGTTTGGCATTCAATGTTAGTTTTGATTAGCAGATAACATCGCGCCCGTTGCCGCAGTAATTAAACTTGTGACTGGAATGCTTTAAACGAAAGAGAACGACCAGAAGATGTATGTGGAAAACACGTCCCTCCATAGAGATTATGAGATGATCATATTGACAGATGGCCATCTTTGCCAGCTCAATCAGCGCGTCCTATTGTCCCACTCAGGGTGTAGCTCTCTTGAGAGAAAAGATCATTTAATGATGATGATAATCGAGCGCAGTGCTCTTAAACAAGTTGTACAACATGATCAAAGAGATATTTTTATGTGAAATTATAAGCGTATTTTAATTTTAAGTTACTCTTAAAAACGTTTGGGAGAAACGCCAGTATTTCCGAAATGGAAATAGCCTTAAAATAAGGGCAAAGAGTTGCATGACTGACTGAGCTAAAACTCTCTGGATAAATTTATTCGAGAAAGTTCTACAAGCTCTACAAAATCGAGAATCAACCCAGTATATCCGGCAGAGCGTATAAAGTAAATAGTGGGGTCAAATCCCTACTGACAATACAAAATGACGGCCATCTGCCCACTAAAAGGTCAGTTGTACACTTACCGTCCAATTCAAGGAGTTTTTCAATGTCTACGCCCAGTAAGGAATCAAAATCCAACAAGGGTCCGCCATTAAACTCGTCCTGGCTTGGGGTCTTGTGTAACATCTGAGTTAGTTCGTCGATGTACGCAGCTGCAAGCCATACTACTTCAGTTTTTGTGGGCTTTTTATCATGTGGCGAGAGGGGAAGCAAACTTTTCAAAACTTCAATTTCTTCGTTTAAAGCTTGCACTCTTTTTCTCTCTCGGGCGTTGGCTAACCTACGCTGCTTGCTTACTCCGGTCAAACGGGGACCACGACGTTTTCTCTTCTTCTTGTCCACAGCAAAAATCGAAGCTTCGTATTCTTCAGCCATGCCTGTAAATGAGCACTGCTTGATTTCGACTTAACTGAGGTCTAAATAAAATCCATCCCGTAATATACCCACTTGATACCTTGCACTTTGTGAGTGGAGTGGAGCGGAGAGATAAAACAAAACTTATCTACAATCTCACAGACATAAACCGCCCGATGTGTCCCACTAAAAAAATAACAAATACCAGCAAAAAAAAAAAAAAAGAAAAGATTGCGTTTCATTGATTCTTTCCTTGGATAGCATTTTTATCATTTTAACACCCTTTTACTCGTTAAAAATTAAGGTATGTTTGATGTGCGAAGTTAATCCCTTTAGCTTCGTCGAGAATGACTTTGTAAGTGAAGAGTTTTTCTATCATTGCGTTAATTACCATCGTCTATTTCTTAACGCCCTATTACACTCAAATGACAAATACTTATGTTTACAATCTTTGAGACGCACTTGTCTACACGGACAATCCAGTTACATAGAAAAGATACAGATGATAACACAGTTTAATTTGATATAGTTATGTCTAAATAGCCCATATTTAAGACTTAACTCATCGAAAACGCCAGGCACTATAACTGTTTTTTTTTTGTTATTTCTGGCAAACCAAGCTCTGTAATTCTCTGAGACCTTGGGATTCAGGAGATTGCAAGAGGCTTCGGCAATATCTTCGACACAATGGCCACAACGGTGTGATCATTAAGCTAATCAACGACTCTTAAAATAACATCTTTTTGTCCTGAGTGTCTACGTTTATCTAGCTACTAGTGCCGCAACACAAGTAGACTTAACCGGGAAGGTGCAGTCTACACAGTTTAGGCTTATTTGGTCTTCTCTCCAAAAGAAGTATTTAAAAGTAACCATACAATTTGACTGACTGTAATGGAAGCTGCTCTGTATATTTTGCTTTATATTATTGACACAAACGCGCTAAAACTCTTTGATTGAAATCTGTCAGTTGTTCGGCTGCACTTGCGGTGGTTTGTCTCTTTATACCGCGGTGGTCGGGGCCAGTCCCTCGTAATGATGTACGTTGTGAACTGCGTAACTGCTTATCTCTTTCGAGGTTAGATATCAAGACCTTGACCTTGCAAAATGGGGTAACACAATGATGGAAAATGTTCGCGTTAAAGCGAGTTTATCTCGAAATCTTTATGTGTTTGTGATTGTTTTCCTTGGAAGGCGATAGATATCCTGCAATATAGATATGGTCTAATCCCCGCTGAAGGAGACCAACATTAAGTCGATGTCCACTCGTGAGCTCGTCCAGGTCTCTTTTATTGCCCACATCTTGTAAAGGGAAACTTCTTCTCTTATCGGACACACGCCATTACTAAAAGTTGTATGCCATGATATGCAGATTTCTACAGAATACGGACAAGTATCGCACCTTCTAGCAATGCAGGATGGGTCCAGAAGTGTGCTCGTCTTTCGTACCGTCTTTGATGAAAGTTAGTTTTGTGTAGCCACATAATGATTGAGCATATTATATTAAAAAAATTCATCTGAATACTCGATCAACCTTGCTCATTGAGGGAACTATCGACCTCCAACAACCACACTCCATTTCACTCTATTCTAAACATAATTTCGCTTCTTTTCTTCATCTTGCAGGCTTCCGTGTTACGAAGTCGCCGTATTCCCGCTTTTGACAAATTCAGCTCAGCAAATAGACGAATTTCGATATATTAATATTCAGACTAACACAATAGACCTCAACACGAGGCTCTGGGGAATAAACCCCACAAACTCTGCAGTTATTCCCAGAGCCTCGTACCGAGGTCTATTGTTTTGGGCTGAATTATAATGTATCGAAATTAGTCTATTACGTGTAATAATGGATGAATGAACGAACGAACGACTAAATGAATGACTTTATTTGAGCGTCTAAGAGTATTTAGCTTTAGGAACTATTGGGGACACTATAATATTTACACTTTAAAATGTATCTTAACTATATAAAATAGTATCGCTGACTTTCCTGGGCGCGCGGCTACTGAATCCAGGTGTCACTATAGAAACCAAGAGAAAATATCAGTAAGAAAAAAATGGAATTACCAGCTTGAAGGGAGTTTTTCTTTACAGCTCAGAAGCGCTAGGAAGGAACAATCAAGTACACAGAATGTTCCAGACTTCTCGTGGAAGATTCTTAGAATCTGATGGGAAATCCGATCTGAGCCAGCAGCGAAGAGCATTGAACCTAGACAGACAAGCTTTCATCTCTGTTTCAGCTTGTTGAGCATGATAAAAGCGGTCTTAGCTTTTCCAGTTCATGCTGATGTCCCCGGAGGAACTCCCATATAAAAGGGACGGTGTTACTCGTCGTACCCTCTAGGGATTAAAAAAAACAGCCTCTTGGGGTTTTCAGCCTCAAAAGATCCACAGCATAAGCTTTTGCAGTACGTTTTAGGGTATTGAGCCGAAAAAAAAAATATGACAGGAGATAATATGTTGTTTTAGAATTGGTGAAAAACATTTTAAGCTACGCTCACAAAACAGGATCTTGGTACCTCTTAGGGATTCTTTTCTTTTTGACGCGCACCCCCGTCCTATTTACATGGGAGTCCTCTCCCGAAGTAGTGTCTCCTGTAATTCGTCCCCTTTTCTCCAGTCTGGCTTCATAATGTTAAGATGTTTTTGTTGGCGATATTTTTTTAATTTTATCATCTGACCGATCTGGTTTCCACTTTTAGGGCCTTATCTTGCGCTCCCATCGCTTCCATAGTTGACGTTTTGTCTTGCATTTGGTCCAAGCTATGAAAAAGAAGGATCAGATCGTCTGCTTCGCGAGAATCCTCTCGACATCTTTCTACTTTCCATGAGTTGTAAGGTATTCTTGATGGCTCCCAGTTTATATAGGGGATGCTATACCACCCTATCAAACTCCATTCCTTATCCAAACTGCCAAGAAGACAAAACTTATATTTTTAGGTAGAACTACTGGATCTGGCGCGCAGGGTACAGCCCAGTGTGTTTAGAGATGTTGCATTGCCAATTCTGCCTTGAAAGCTTCTTATCGCATGCCGTTTGGTCCTTAGCTAGCGGGGCAGCCGAACGTGTCACTCTGTGATATAGGATTTCGGTCCTATGACTTCGCATACTTACATGAAAATGCCTGAAACCCTTCTCTTGTTTTTATGTTGGATGGACCTTCATGTTTGGACCTTCATAGCTCGTGAAATTTAAAACCAACAAGTTTAGTCCGTGATTTCTCCCTTTCCCTTTAACGGGGTTGAAGTCCTTTTTTGATTGGTTCATTTGAGCATGCGCATGTATGTTATCCTGGACTCTCTTATCCCGTTAGTGTTTAACCCCTACATAGAACGGGAATGTAGGAGTAGAACCTAAGCGTGCATTTACGTCGTGTGCTTAGTCCCCTAGTTGAACATGTTGAATTCGTCATTTGAACGAGCCATGGCCGATTCTCTCTGTAAGAAATGCCTGCAGGGAATCATGGTAGTTGTATTCATCAAAACAAATATCCAGCCGCGAGTCCAGGATAATGAATACAACTACCATCTAGTAGAGGGAATTGGCCATTCAAGTCCTGGCGCGCTCCAACACCACCACATTGCACACTCTGCTTGGTTCGCTTTGAGCATGCGTATGCAAGTTATCTTCTTTCCCTCGGGCTCATCTACTATATAGAGCGAGGCAAGGAGAGCTCAGAGAGCGGACTAAAAAACAACCAGCGCTGGTATCCTTGGAAGCCTTTAGTTATCAAAATCACTTTCAAGAAAAGATACTTGATGATATCAGGTGTAAAAAATTATTATCTGAACTTTTCGTTAAGACTCTGAGATCAAACAAACTGGAAAAAATATCCTTAGATGGCAATAAAAACCGATCCATGCAAAATTAGAGCATGGAAATAAGAATTTTAGGTTCGTTTGGAAAAGGATGAATAACTCTGCATATAAATGTTATTCATTCATCGTATTGTGTGTTAAGTGTACTTTGCTCGTTGCTTTTTTTTGCGGCTTGACTCCCTACTGTGGCCCAGAGTTTGTTTTGACGAAGAGAGAGATCGTCGCCATGTCGAACACATTTTTAAGAATCAAAACATTTTACACACTCGCCACACCAAACAAACTATTTATGATCAGTCAGTGTCCATTAAAAAGTATCGTAGGTTTTGATTTGTTACTCACATATAAGATAAGCCCTAGCTGTACATGAAGACCGACACGGTCAGGTAGGCTGGGCTGACATGTGAACAGATACTTGGCTTTTCTGGACACGCTCTTTATGACACAAAAATGAAAACATCCATGGAGTTGGCCAATAAAAGTGATAAACATTTTTTGGTCTGCTGGCGCACGTGGCAGGCAAGCCGACAAGGAGTGACTTTGATGAATTGAAATTAAGTTTTTTTTCGAAGAAGCAGCCGCAAGCGGAATACACAATATCTCACCAAAACTTGTTCATATAATAGTTGTTAAGACTGAAACCTACACTCATGATGGATAAAAACTTCACTGTACCAATTTATGAACAAACGGTTGAATTTATTTTGCAGTTTTTACATTGTTTAGACTTGATTAATTCTTGGTGGACCACCTATGGTGAAAGTTTTTTTTCAAAGAAGTTGTTTTAAAAAGCAGGTAACTGAGATGAAACAAGTTGAATACAAATTTAGTGTAAGATTGAGAAATCGACAAGATATACCAGTATCCAGCTTATTTCAGTACTGGGTGGATTTCTCAAAGCTTGTTGGCCAACTGTTAAAATTGTATATTTAACTACACAAATGATAACTGAGTTAAGGTTTGAATAGTTCCTTTGTTTCAATATTGACGTGTTCAAGGTAAACAATTGATCCTGAAGGAAACCATTACAGGCTAATGATTAATAAGCGTGTGTTATTTTTAAATTTTAAACTTATTGTTCAGCGAGCAGCTGTAGGATTGACCTGTGGCTGATACGAGGGCTCCACGCTAGATAACGAGGTGCAGGGCTAAAAAGAACTGCAAAAGGATACTCAAGGAACAG